TTGCGAAAAAGGAACTGCTGTGGAACAATAAACGTACTATTTATACTCTTTACGTTATTATTGTCCACTTGGATAACACGAATGTAATACGAAGAAAAAAATGAAACTTCTCCGGAACAATAAACGTACTATTTATACTCTTCACGTTATTATCGTCCACTTGGATAACAATTGCGTAAATTCAAACGTGAATGGAATATCGAGAGCGGATCTAGCGCGGCGGTGGAGACAAAGGGCGCAAGGTCCTTCCGCGTGTGATCTTCGATCCAAGGAGCGAGGGCTCGATTTATCGGAGTAATTCACTTTGACGGTGCGGCTGTGGATTGCCACCGGCGATCACAAATCACAATGTGACGAAAGTGCCGTGAACATGGAGGAAGTGGTCGCCCCGGAGTGTGGAGCGCGTGTTATGGAATGACTCTCTCGGTTATGCGTCCCGGTACGAAACAGTCGCCCTTATATACTACGGAATGCTCTCTGTACTACACCAACGGGCAGTGGTTAACTTTTCCACCAATGGAGACAAACACGTGGGGCGTGTGTGGGTACATAGTGGTGTCGTACGTGCAAAGGTGCCGGCTATTTGTGTGCAAAAGGACGAAATTTACATTTATACGAACAAGAGTGAATACGTATCTGAATTTTTGCATATACGCGCAGTATACTTGGTGAACGGTTCTATAGACAGGGAATCGATATTTATGTGCGCGATCCGATGACAAAGACCGTACGATGAAAATTATAGTAGCAAGAATGGTGTTCGCGAATGTTTGTACATTGTGTACGCGGCACGTGTGCGCACACGTACAGTGGCGCGAGAAAGTATTTACACGCTCGGACTTGGGGACTTTTCGAACGATACTGTTTGAAATATTATTTTTTTTAACAGCGTGTTATTTTAGTTTTGTAATTGTCGCGATGTTTTTTCCACCTGAAATCTCTGTTTACATAGTGGAACGTTTACGTAAACAAATAGTCAAATAATGTTCGAATATTCATATATTTGAGTCGTCGAGTATTACAATAATGTTCGAATAGCCAACTATTCCAGTCACATTCGCATGGTTCAATATTTAAATAACCACGTACTTCAATTATGTTCGAATATTCACGTATTTGAATTGTCAAATATTCCAATAATATTCAAATAGCCAAATACTTCAGTGTATGTATATAACTTGAATATTTGACTATTCGAATATTAAAATATTTAGTCATTCGAATAGCTAAATATTTAAATAAACACGTACTTAAATGATGTAGTGGTATTCGAATAGTAATATTCGAATAATGGTAGTCGAACAGTGATATTTAAATCGTGGTATTCGAATAGTAGTATTCAAATAATTGGGTTCGAATAATGATAGTCGAGTAGTGGTATTTGCATAGTAGTATTAAAATAGTGGTATTTGAATAATGGTAGTCGAGTAGTGGTATTTGGATAGTAGTATTCAAATAATAATATTCGCATAGTGATATTTTGATAGTGGTATTAGAATAATGCATTCGATTGGTAATATGTGTATAGTGATATAGAAATGGTAATAACGCCCACTGTATGCACAGGTAGCAGTAGAGATACTTTATGTTGGAGAAAGGAGTTCCTCTGACTTGGTTCCATCAAACGCGTCTGTTTAACCGTGAGTTTATGTTCAAGGATTTCTTTGAACAGCTATTCGTCGTGTACAGTAGGACCTTTTTAATTTTATTTGTTTGGGGGACCACCAGTGGAATCTTATTTCAAATGTCACTTTTATGATGCATCAAAATATATAACGCTGAAAATTCGAGTCAAATTACCCAAAGGACAATGTTTTTAATGGTTACATGTTCTGCAAATTGATTTTTTCGTTTTCGTACAATTTGCAACGCTCCGTTAGTAACAATTAGTAATAATATTTAAATAGCCAAATACTTTAATATTTCTGTAATTTTTTAATAAAAAACTTAATCGGTGACAAATAATGTTTTTCCTTACAGATTAATTGATAGTAAAATCGATAGAATCAATTAGATCTGGACACTTTCGAAATTGTATTATTTGAGATATTATTTGAAATAATAAATAATATTTCATATATTATTTCAAGTAACACGCTATTTCGTTTAATAGTATTTACGTACCTCTGATCATTTCTGAAATAACAAATAACATGTTATTTTATTTGATTATTTGTAGAAATTGACGTTAAATAATAATTATACACGGAGATTGTTTCAACATTTAGTTTTCCAACAAATATATGCTCTCTTAGAATATATGACTGAGGGAAGATTCAAAGTTGTATGCTTTTTCTTTAGAAATAAATAATATGTTTATCTTAGAAAGGCACAGAATTAATTACTGTACTTGACAGAATTTTCACAACATTCTGGTCGTTAAAGTATATTATAGCACTTAAGTATCTTTTAATGGCGGTGAATACTTGCTCGCGAGGGGGCACACAGTTCCAAGAAAAAATTAACGAAGAACTCCATTAAGTTTCTGTTATCTCTTCTATTTACATATGTAAGCGCTTGAAGTTAATGTGTCACTAACTAATTTGTTACTTCATTCATTCGGAAAATTATGATCCGCGTATTCTTTGACTCGTCGACGATCATTTTCACAAATGCTAAACTCTGTGCCTTTGTTCTAATTCTAATTCTAATTCTATTTATTTCTACTTCCCATAATATAATTCGACTATGTACACCAATACATTTCGAAAAGGTACAATTCTGCTAAAAAAAAAAAAAAGAAAAGAAATAATTAATCAAAATTAACAGCACACTAATTTCGATTATTTTGAACAAAAATCCATTTTTATGATAAAACTCTATTATTTATGCAGTTGATATCACGTTTAAAAAAGCATACTTATGCCATACAAAAATATATTTAGATTTCGAAGCATTCAAGGGTTTCCTTTCCGTTGATAATGAAATTCCTGTTTTTTTTATATTCAAGTTAAAAAATTGAATTTCAACTATGGACGCCTGTCTTTAGACATGCATCTTTTTGCATCGATCGTATTTTTCTCCGTTCTCATGAATATTAAACAGTGAATAATTAACATTATCAAAGACGACATCCTTCGGTACGTAAAAGTTAAACGGTTTCGGATCTCTGAAATACATTCGTTTGGCATTGTTGAAACTCTTGTTAGCATCTGAATGAACCACGTCCTTCTAATAGTCGACAATGCACGTTGCAACGGTGTATGCATTAGGTTGGTTGATCTTTCTCGATTTCTTCTTTTCTTCGTCGGGAATCGAACGTCGATTAGTACAGATCAAGCACGATGGTGATATTTTTTTCCAACCCTGTTAGATTAAACGGTTCCATATTGAATACTCACCAAATAATAATAACGATAATATAATAGTTTATTGCACTTCTTAGAAAGGGTACTGCGGTACACTTGACATTCAGTTTTCAATGCCAGTGCATTGTTATTGTTGTTCTACTATGACACAGAACAGATGGCTTTGACAGTTCATTGGCCTTAACTATGTTAAGTGTTAGGTAAGCGATGAGTGCACGTGTACAAAGGCGATCAGGATTTAATGTATCGACTTTGAGGTAAGGTTAGTGAACTGCTTCGATGAAAATCACGTTTAAAGTCATTTCTAGGAAGTATCATATCGTATATAATCATGTGTAATCAAATTTATATAATACATATCATATGAGTCTATATAACATGTTTTTACATTATTTATTCATTGTATATGTATATGTATATATTATTATTATTATTATTATTATTATTATATACAGATTACAGATGATTTATAGTAACTATGATAATAATATAATGTATAATCTATTATTATATAATACGATATTCTACATTATAAGGAAAAACGGAGTTGTTTTAACATTACTTTTATTAATAATATGTATAATAGTGTATATAATTTCTATACATAATGAATAAATAATGTAAAAACATATTATATAAACTCATATGATATGTATTATATAAATTTGATTACACATGATGTAATATATGTATATGTATACAGGATGAGACATTTTAAACAGATCACCTACATAACTCGTTTGAAGATAGAAGATAGAAGAAGATGCATTAAACAGAACTTACTTGGTGTCGGGGATCTCATAATCTGGTATTACCAATTTTTCTGTAGGTGGAGTCGTCAAGGAGATATGAAGATCAATTCTCTTTTTTCAAATGGAATGGTATGGTTTCTTACCAAACAAAACGAAACGAAACGAAACGAAACAAAAACAAACAAAAGTAACCGATCGAAAAAATTGCATGTATTTCCTATTCAAAACTTCAGAAGGTATAAAGCACGTGTTAATGTTAAAATCGAGAGCTGAAATTTTGCTGGAATATTTTTCTTTTATGTATTTATAAGATACTCGAGGGATGTGTAACGTAGATTTAAAAAATCATTGAAGTAGGGACCACTGTAATGCACCAGCGCTTATGCGCCTTTCTCTTGAGACAAACGCGGCACGTGCCTGACCTCAACTCCTTGATCTTCTTGGGACCTAGCAAACGAGTGACCTTCCATTGCACAATACGTCGTTTTTCCACGTGGAATACACCAACCACCAGTTCAGGAAAAACTCCGATTGATTGCACGCAAAAATGAATCCCTTGCACAAACAATATCTTCGGAAACAGCCGCAGACCTATCGCATTTGCATTATTACTCACTGCATGGCGCCGTCTATTACGTTCGATGTTACGCGTATACCAGGTTACTTTAGAACAGAGGTTCCCAAACTTTTTAGACAGGCGGCTCCTTTGGTACACAGATTATTTTCGACGGCTCTTTTAGTACCAATCGATATGCGATTAATCTGAAATATATATATATAAAGAAATAGATATAAAGAAGATATAAAGAAAATGTTATTAATTTTAAATTATTGTAATCTATTGTATAATAGAATGTATATATAATATATTATAATATATTCAAGTATATTAATGTATTCATTGATAATGCAATA